TGAGGGAAAACGACCAACCTCCTCAACACTCCACAAAGAAGAAACCCTCTTTCCATTGCTTAATGGGAGAGGGAGCCCCAACGAGCACCTTGGTGTTCGACCTATCTGATGGGTAGTAGTACTCCTACTTGTGCTTCTTTAAGTGGAGAAAGTATCTAAACATTGGCAGGGTGATCTCAATATCCTTGAGACTGCAGTAGAAAAGTAGCCCGACTAGGTACCAAAATGAGTTCAACATCAATTGAATAGATAGGACCCAATACCACCTTAAGATGGCCACTACCCCGAAACGTACACACAACTCCCCTCGGGATAGGCCAAAGTGGCTCTCTCAATATCCTTGAGAGTGTAGTAGCAAAGTAGTCCGACCAGGTACCAAAAAGAGTTCAACATCAATTGAACAAGTAGGACCCAATACCACCTTAAGATGGCCACTACCCCGAAACGTACACACAACTCCCATCGGGACAGGCCAAAGTGGCTCTCTCCCCAATCCTAGGACACCAAAGTTCATACTCTTCAAGAATGCGATACACTTCCCCAATTTGAGCTAGACTTGCTAGAGAAAGGCTACATGGAGCTAAGGCAAACCACTCCCCAAATCTCCTCTCAAGGGCTTGCTCTTCTGACTCCACATCAACTTCAGCCACCTTGTCGGCACCAGTCTCTCAAGCACCAATATCTTAGACCTCAACATTGCTCTCGTCACCAACCTTGGCCACATTAACATTGGTCTCTAGTACCCTAACCTCTGTCACCTCGTGCCGAGAACTACCCTCACTCTTATCCCCCAAAGTAAACCTAGTGAAAAGGGAAGACAGGGAAGACGTAGTGGAACCGTGGAAGACATCTTATTGAAGAAAAAGTTCGAGACACCTGAGATATCAACCAAGGGACGTCAGTCGAACTCCAAGGCGTAGACTCTTCCCAAATGACAAAGTGAAATGGCTCACCTACCCCCTTTTTATAAAGGCAGCCAACGGTCCAGATCAAATCAGATCAACGACGCCGATTCAATGCTGCACTTTGCACGCATGTGACCTTGGGAAGATGAAATGACACATCTACCGACCTGTAATGGAAACTGATGAGGGCAGATTTGGCCTTCCAATGACATTATGACACCTGGCACCTCATGCCAACTAAGTGCAGCATCTTGACAACTAGACAACTCAAGCTCGCCACTTACAGGCAATTCGCTACAAGCAGCTCGTCACATGCAGCTCACCAAAGGCAGCTCGCCACTTACAGGCAGCTCGCCACATGCAGCTCACCACAGGCAGCTCGCCACATGCAGCTTGCCACAGGTAGCTCGCCACATACAGGCAACTCGCTGCAGGCAGCTTGCTACAAGCAACTCGCCACAGGTAGCTCGCCACATGTAGCTCGCCTCCTAGTCAGACCGACCACCGTGTGACAACCCCGAGGAGCTCACCACCGTACCCCGCATTTTACGGGATTGTGACTTGTAACGGTTGCATTAGCTCACCCACTCCCCGAGTCAGGCGGAAATGAGCAACCTTATCGGTTGGTGGCTTTATCCCCACCTAACACAAAAGCAGGTCCCGTCCTAGCGGGAATCCAGGAACTGCTCCACCAAACCCGCGAGGGCTCCAGTATATAAAGGCCTTACCCCCCAGGGACGAAAAGGAGAGAGGTAATCCCTGCTTTCTAGCTCTCTCATTCTCTTATATCATTTTTCAGCTCTACTACTAAGTGCTGACTTAGCCATCGGAGTGACCTCGCCGGGTATACACCCCCGGGTTCTTTGATTCAATTCTCGTAGGTCCCTCAGCTCCCGCCATCTACAAAGATGAGCAGACCATCTCCTGCAGGGAGGACGGGTTCCTCAGTTCCCGCCGTCTACAAAGAAGAGTAGATCATCTCCTCCAGAGAGCAGTCGGGTTGCACTACACTAGGGAGCTCCACTTCAGCCCCTGAGTCATAGGCCACTTGGGAGTAGACGAGGTGACGAGGTACTTAGCCAAAAAGAATTGATACGTGACCAGAAACCATTACATCAATTAGCGTCGTCTATGGGAACATGCTACACAAAGCTAAGTTTTCATCCTACAAAAAACTAAGTTCTTATCTTACAAAAAGCGAAGTTCTCTTCTCCCAGAAAGCTAAGTCCTCACCTTTTTAGAAACTAAAGCTCCCGCTTTATAGCTTCCTTTTTTTATGAACTCAAAGAAACTGAAGCTCCCGCATTATAAGGCGGAGGCAGCGCAATAAAAGCTATAAGGCGCCCCCCCCC